TTGCAGTGTGTTGCTAAGACTGGCAAGGCTCACTGACGATGCCGGCGAAACGTTTGGGAATGTACCAAGTTTGCTGTCCGACTCTGGAGATGATCATGCACACTATTTACTCTTGTCAAAATTGTGTTCCTTAATGTCCTTCTGTCAATATGACAAAGTCTCGAAAACAAGGCCAAGCAACTTCTATACATATTTTTGTCTAACATATTTATAGCAGACGCCTGCTTTTATACCACATATTTCAAAATACATTAGTCCACCGGAATCCACTTCATTGAAGGCAGTGTAATCTTCTCATTTTTCACTGATTTCGTTCATATTGGCCACAATCTTTCTGATCCTCTAATGAGTGCTAGGCGGCATCTCATTACTGGAATAGATAATTCATCGCTTCAGCTCATCTTGTATTGGCCAACTTTGAGCCCATATGACATCATTAGCCTATTCCAACGATTAAACGTGTTATTTTGACTAATTACAGTCCGTGCCTTTGAAATTTAATGTATCTATTTGTGTAAGTATGCCCATGCAACCGAAATGAGGCTAATCGAAGTAGCTAAATAAGCCTTATGAGGGCATCCCAAAACAAGTTGTTACTACGTAAGGTCTCGTAAGACTATTAAAATAATCTTTTGAATATAATTTAAGAATTCCTTAGTTGGGTCAAATAATGTCTCATCACTTTAGCCGAATTAAGGGTTAAAATTAACAAATTGCATCCTCTATAATTTATCCAATTATGCCAACTTGTATAAGAGTATGTCTACAGTTAATATATACACTACATCAAAATAGGCACGATAAAAATATTGTGACAGTGAAGGTGTGATAGGAGAATATAGAAAATGTGACTATTCCAGGGTAGAATGAAAGATACCCCAACTGTTTAGCACACGTTTGGTCAAAGGATAGGCTTATTTGTCTCTTTAACGAGTTGTTTTGTGGTTCTAAGAATGGCGAGACTCACTGACGATGCCGGCGAAACGTCTGAGAATATACCACGTCCAGGGTCCGACTTTGTAAAGAATTATGCATATAATGGACTCCGGACTAGGTGCGTTCCTCTAAGTCTTCCTGCCAATATGACAAAGTTGCGAAAAAGAAGGTCAAACAACCTCTATACAATAAAAGGAGACTGCGACCACACAAAAGGTCACACCATCTTGGTCTTCATACTTTCAATAGATATATTTGGTTGCACTCCAAACTTGTAGAATTTCTTTATCATGGAATTACACCATTTTCGAAGTTATTGCAAATTGACTAGTTTACGTTGGAAAAAGTTGATCTCGAAGCAATTAGTACAAGGCATCTTAATATGACGAAATTTCTAATGCTACTGATATTTTTACCAGTACTACATTTTTACAATTTTCATGTTCCACATAGGCTTCTGATAACGAAATTGTTGCTTCCTACTCGAACTTAAGTGCCCTATCTACGCCCATCAAACGCCAGACTGTCACATGTCATGTTTCGCTGGACGCTAGTTTTACTAACCAGCTTGCTTACAATGCATCGTATTCAATTAGTCAAGGCGGTCTAGACCGTTTCTCGATCAGGTCGGTGGAGAAGAAGAGTTCACATCGAGCAAGGCATGAGGCATATGATAAAAAAAATGGAATTGAAGATAAAAAATTCAAAGGACTCAAGCCTACATTAAAGCGGGAGGAGATTACTAAGAATGAGGAAGAGAAAGCGGTGAGACAATATGCAGAAACAGAAGAAAAAGGGAAAGAATATGAGGAAAGAAGAGGGAAAGAAGAATTGGCGGTGGGAGAGAAGGAGGAAGAGAATGATTATGAGCAAGGGCAGGGGCAGAAGAGGAAGGAAGACGAGGATGAAGAGGTGCAAACTAAAATAAAGGAGACCAAGATAGGCGAAGCGAAGGCTGGTGGAGTCCAGAGGCCCAGTAAAAAAAAGAAGGTGATGATGGTGCTCGCTGAAGGACAATTAGATACGGAGTCCACAAATATTAGCCAGGAATTAAGTGAAGCCTCAGCATTGATCCTTTCTGGACAATTTCTGAAAAATCCATTGGTCTGCGAAAAAGTTGTTGCTCGTCACCAGGGCGAAGCCAATTCGGAAATCCCTGCATGGTCCAAGCACGAAACAAGGAGTTATGTAAGTAAAGGTCAATTTCCCCCCCCTGAACTTGTGATGAGTATGTTATAGTTGTTTCTGAGAGGAGAACATCTAAAGAAATCGATGATTTTTTAAGAAGAAACTGGTTTTCTAAGAATCACTAAACAGGATTATATTGAAGTATCTTGTATCTCGCTTAAAGAGGTGAATGAAAGGGATTTGTAACATGACCTCGCCGGAAACTAAAGGATGGTTTTCTTGAAGTTGTGCTTGTTCCTTCATGCGAATGAGACCTAGAATCCAGAAATTGAAGGTTGTCCAACAAATGGTCATTATAGGACACCAGAAAGTGGTAGAAAATCCAACGTTTCACAGGAAACAGATACTTCAAGGCTAAGTGAAATATCAGGAAGTTGATTAAAATTAACAAAACTAATCCGCAAATGTAATTGTTTAATTAGATAAATACCAATTAATAAAATGATTTTAGAATAATTAACTTAAAAAGTGACAAATTAGCAGCCTGATCAGTAGGAACAATTGTGAGAAATTAAGCATGATTTATCTTCGGCTAATGAAGAGAATTATGAGGAGAGAAAGTGGGAAGAGTTGCCGTCTAATAAAAAAAAACCTGACTAACCTCGATTTGGTTTTGCACTCGAACATGTCAATTGCATACGGAAAATCTACCTGCATTCACATAACTGAAACAACCGTCATGCATC